ACTTATTAGTTTTAGAATTAGAGTTAGAGTAATATTAAAACTTAAAGCTAAAATTAGAATTAGAGTTAGAGTTAAGGTTAAAAGTATTATTTAAAAATAAAAAATCTTATATAACTATAGTAAAAATAGCAAATTACTATAGTAGAAATAGTAGTTTTCTAAATCTTTTTAGCAATATAAACTATTTTAATAATTTTAAAAATTAATATAATATAACCTCTCTAAACTGATATATATAATGACTAGCTTTTATATTAGTTTTAACAAGTTATTAGTTTTGAAAAAACCAATAACTTATTAGTTATATAGTTTTAAATAAATATAATTGACTAAATTTATTTCTTATATTTTTAATATATTATATAAAATTTAATTTAAGCTAATTAAATTAATTTATTTTATCTGTTAAATCTGATATCTAATAAATATTAATTTTTTAAATATCAGTTATCAGATTTAATAGATTATTAGATTTAACTTATAGAACAGATATAGTAGTTTAATTTTATTAGTTATTACAAATTATTATTTTTAATAGAATTAGTTTTAGAAGGTTATACTATAGTTAGTTTTTTGAATATATTTTATTTATTATTATTTTTTTTAATAACTTAATAACTTAAAATAAATTTATATTATACTATTAATTAGATCTTTTTAATTATATTTATAAGATATATAATTTTTGAGTTCTTTTAAAATTAATTTTATTATTTTTAATATTTTTAATATTTTTAATATTCTTACTATTTTATTATTACTATTAGAGGTTAGAACTAGTTTTAATAATTCAGATTTATTATATAAATTTTGTAATATTTTAGAATTTATTAAAATTCACATGATAAACCTAAATTATTAAAACTGATTTCAACCTCTAATTGCTATAAAAGCTATATAAACTTATATTTTCTTTTTAGCTCAGATTAGATTTGTTTTTTATAATCTTCTTAATATTAGAATTTTCTTAGTATAAAAACTAATAGATAGTCTTATATTATTGATATTGTATTATAAATAAAATATAATTTTTGCTTTAATATAAACTTTGTAATAAATTATATTTATAAAATAATATTTTACTTAAATTCTATTAAAAATTTTTTTCTATATTTTATATTACTTGTATTATATTAAAAAAGACTTATATACTTATAATAATACAAACAATTATATTTTAGTATAGCCAAAACAAAACTTAAAAATAGCTTAAAATAACAAATACTATTAACTAGCTAGCTATCTTTGAATATATTAATATAAATAACAAACTAACTATATGCTTTATATATTTTACTTATTTAAATCTAAAATTTTTTAAAATAAAAATAATACTAGATAAATTTTTAATATACTAAAACCTATATAACTAATACTCTAATAAATATACTTTATCACTATATTTATAATGCAACAAGACTATAGAAGATAATATATATTAGCTAATATATAAAGCTAACTCTACTAATATTAACTCAATTATAAATAATATTATTATTAAAACAGATACTAAACTCTAAATAAAAATCTGTAACTCTATACTATTTCTATACTATATTAATACTATATATTTAAAAGAACAAAATTCAATACCTTTGGGTCTGATAATCTAACCAAATTTCTATTTACAACAATTAATACAAAAATATTATTAATAAGTTTTTCTTTTAAATAAAAAGCTTGTAATAATCATGATCATAAATTGGTTTGTTTAAAACGATACATTTTGCGTAATCAATATCAAAATCATTATAATTTATATAGTGTTTAATTTTGTTTAAAGAGCATTTAGTGAACGTTAGGGATGGTAAAAAGCGGTTTAAATAGTTTTTTTGGGGTTTAAATCATTTTAAAAAAACGGTTTAAAACATCAGTAACTGATTCTGAAAATGAAATTATCATTTCTGATTGGTTAATTTCAGTACCAGCCAACAGATAGGGACAGCATAAAAAACATTTTAAATATTATATGCTCAAATGAAAAATTAATTAATAAATGTCGCGGATTATGGTGAGATTTGAGCCTATTTATTATGAAATTTGAAATTTTCTGGATGTATTTTCTTAGCTTTTTTTTTAGGGTTAGGCTAGGGTTTAGGGTTAGAGTTATTTAAAAAAAAGTACAAGTAGATTTTAGTAGAGTTTATATTTTCAAAAGGAGACCACCAAATCTTACCATAATCCGCGACAATAATTGTGGCATATCGATATCATAATTAAATCGAATTAAAATGAAATTTGGGGTCTCCTTGCGTCCTCTTTAAAGTCTATAAAATCCACTTATACTCTTTTATTAATAACGCTAACCCTAAATCCCAACTTAACCCTAAAAAAATTCCCAAAAAAATGTACTCTAAAAAATTTTAAAATTTTATATTAAAATTGCAAAAATTTCATTTTAATCTGATTTCATTAGGTTTTTTGGCGTTAAAAAAATAGCACAGGACCCGAATAATACTAAATAAGGTGGTGTGGTATTATTTTTTTGGCCCAAACTTTTTTAAATTCCTGTTAAGTTAAAATTAAAATTTAATTTTGACCAGAATTTAGAAAAATTTGGCCCAAAAAAAATGTCCAGTTTAATCATACTAAGGATAGACGTTACATGAATATAAATATAGTGCCTATATAAACTTTTATCGACATAATCTTAAGATATTATTTAAAGGCTCATAACTTGTTGCTAGAAATTTGTTCAAATAAAGTTCTACGATTAAAGTTGCCATTACAACAGACCAGGGCGTAAGTTCTTTTTTAGCGTGTATGTATCAGGAACGCACAAAATTTTTTGTGTAGGTTAGACAATAAATCAACGAGTACGTCAGTCGGGAGGTTTCGGAATGTATGATAAAAGCGAATGAAATGAAATGAAATAAAATGAAAATGAAAATGAAATGAAATGAAATAAAATGAAATGAAATGAGGTGAAATGAAATGAGATGAGATGAAATGAAATGAAATGAGATGGGATAAAAATGAAATGAAATGAAATGTTATGCGGTGTTGTTAGACAATTTATGGTCATGAGTTTGGCATTTGAAGAGTATTTGAGAATTGTGACATTGTTTACATCCAAATAAATTGCAAATATAAATTCACATTAACTTGACCTTAAGAATAAGTTAGAATAACTTTCTTTATCTTTTATATCAATCTTTTATATCACTCAAATTAGCCAAAATCGAGCATATACTGTGCTTGGACATGACGTTTGTTTTGCCAAAAAAATCCAAACGCATAACACTGCACGTATGTTAATTTTTGGTTTTAAGGTATCTTTAATATAAATATGTAATTATAATTTATTTAATTGCGAATATATCAAAATGGTATTTAAAGCATCCAATTATCGAAAAAACCTTCCTTTTTTCTTTGCTTGGCGTTTGTGTTTTTTTTTTCTTTGGAAGTCAAAAGGAACTATAGTTCCGTAACACTAATTTTATTATTATTAATTAAAAATTGAACCAATCAAACAATGTATTATCATCAACGTCATGTTCAGCTACACAAATTTATGAAAAATTTACAGTACAGTACGTATTATACGTAATAGTAATTATAATAACTTTATTATGAATTCATTATTTTCGTGTAACCGTTATGCGTATACGTATCGGATTATTTATTCCTATTTGTTTGTTTAGGCATTTCTTATTCGTTGTTACCAGGTTATACGTAATATTTTTTTGAGAAAATATACGTATTCTTATTATAACGACAAATCAATATTTCCTAATTTATTCCGTAAAATTATAAAAATTATACGTATACGTACTGTATTATTTTTTAATCGATATAAAAGTATCATGAGATCTCATATGCATAAATAATAGGTGGTATTTTTTAAAAAATATAAATATTAATTTTTTAAGATAAAAAAGAACTAGAACAAAGAAATTCCTAAAAACAAAAAGATAATAAATGTGAAGTTACTCATGTTAAGATTTAGAATGACTACACGTATAATGGCAAAATATCGATTTTATTTCTTCCATAATGCACTGAATTGAATATTTCTTACATGCGATGCTCTCTTCATGTTCTCACATGTGTTGGTTTTCGCATATATGTTTCTTTAATGATTAAAAATTATAAAACTTTAGGAATAATTAAAATACCCAAATTCATCAACCTACAACAATTCATCATGCGTGTTCGGGAATTAATTGAAACCGTACTTTGATAATATTATATCCGTTGGATGCGGTTATTCTCAGCTTATTTAATACAATAAATAATTTTTTTTTCTTTTTTTTTGCAAAAAGTGTAAAAGAATAAAAAATATTGAAAGTTACTAATATATTTTGAAACGTTAAATATATATTATCGTTATACAAAAAAATCCTTTTTTAATTAAAAATTATTGTGATCATGTATATCAGGAATCTAGAAAAAAGAATCTATTAATCATGACATCACCTTACTAATGATTGTCACACATCATATCTGATACGATTTTTTTTCGATAAACGGTTACACGGACTACTTGAGTGAAAATATATTATATACTTAACGTTAATTATAGATTCAAAGTAAGTTTAAAAGGTCGTTTTTATGACAACTCACTTTGTATACCAATTTTAAACAATGTTATTCTTCGTTATGATTGGTATGTATTAGAAGTTCTATTCTATTATAAATAATAATTTTTATGTTGTAATGTATGCGGCGTACAATTAATATTTATACTACTGTATTTAAAAAATTTATATATATAAACCCTATAAACCCAACCATCCAAAAAACCAAAAGCTAGAAAAAAATATTATATAGTTTTAAATTCTTTTCATCATAATTATATCTTTGTACTTTGTGCTTTACGCTGTTTAGAAAGAAAGAGATATTACCTTCAATTTAACCTGCGAATTAGTTCTCATTTGAAGAAAAAAACAACTTTGAACTTTCATGCTTAATGAAGTTTCAACATAAAAACTGAGAGAACAATAAATAAAAGTATCTTGGTATTGAAAAAAAAAAATAAAAAACCCAATTTTATCATTATGAGTCAGCCTGTAAATCAAACAACTAGAGTTCAACCTCAAAATTTAGCTCGCAACTTGCCTCAAAACGCTAATATTCTCATCAATACGTCTTTCGATAATCTTACGGTAGACCAAAAATATGAAATTTTATCTAAAGGTACCACTGATCCGTTTGTTAGAACGTCAAGAACAATAAATCAAGCAGCTTCTATATTCTCGACTGATATTTTCTCCGGAATTTCTTTTTGAATAAACCGTTTAATTCTATCGCAATCATGTGACCATCAGCTGATCACACGGACATTTATTGAAAAAATTTTACCCGAATGCAACTTTATTATTATCATTATTTTATTATCATTATTTTATTATCATTATTTATCTTATCATTATTTTATCTTATCATTATTTATCTTATCACTATTATTTTTTAATTATTTTATTATTCTCTTTAAAAGGCATCTTACTCTCAAAACAATAGTTTTTTTTTCAAATAGATATTTATTGTAAGTTCTACGTAACCATTACGTATAAGATTACCATTATATTTATATCTATTATTATATAAGCAAAATGAATGTAATATCCTTTGATTATTCAACCTAATTATAATCCATTCATGGAAAATGATGATGACAAAACTTGGGTCGGAATTCCTCCAGATACTTGTTGTCCCACCGTCCATTTTTTGATGTCACTGCATCTCTTCCATTACCTAATTCTCTTGATCTACCTTCTTCGCCACTGAGCTCCCCTTCCATTTGCATTATACCTACCCTAAAAAAACACGTTAAATATAATCTATTAAAAGATCTTATTTTATACGTTTATGAAATGATTTTGATTAATGCAAAACATACATAAACATCCTGAACTTAATGGAAAGCCTTTTGTAAATTATCGTTCATATGTTCCTCAACCTATTGGACCTAAACAAAAGAAAAAGACCACCAGGTTTAGGAGCAAGTTAATTATACTCCTACCTACCATACAATCCGTCCTCCACTCTGCGTAGGATGAGTAGCTTGATCCTCCTCGTAATATTTACCAGGCATCACATTGCGCTATCGAGGTTACGGGGAAGATAGTTCATTGCCAGTATTGCTTTTCCTAAACGTATGACTAATTAACTTATAAAAGTTCCTAAATAGAATGAATATTGACCTTTCTACAGTACCCTTTTGAACATTATCATTATTTGAATTACAAAGATTCTATACTTTGAGTACAGTTGTAATGGACAATTGTCAACTCGGGATTACATTATATTATTAATATATCTATTCCTTCGCGTTTTTGTAATTTTTGTGCTTACTTTTTTGTAAAACCCTTTTATTACTTTGTCTCGGTCTACTTTACCCCAGCAAACCGTTTCGTAAAAAATTCTTTTATCATTTATTTATTTATTTATTCATTAATTTACATTTCGAAAAAGCGAAAAGTTCGCTTTCTCAGTATGATCCATAACTATTCCTCAACTTACCGACATGACATAAAAAATCTGAACAAGAATCCATCGAAAAAGCTTTACACACGCTCACCACAAATACATTCTGCCGTCTTATTATTGGAACCAATACAGTATATCCATTAGTTAAACAGATAGAAAGATATACACCAAAAAGTCTCAGAGATTATTGAAGCTGGTCACTGCCATATTGCGTTTCCTAAGGAAGATTCTTTGCGGGTCACTACAGTCGGCCTACACCTAAATACTACCGAAAATAACTGATCATTATTATCATCTTTATTATTATCCCTTATATAGATTTATATACTTATCCACTTTATTTTCTGGTTGGTATGATGAAGTAATGAAGCCATGTATACGGTGCAATCATGTTTTTCTGAGGAAGAAACGCACCGACACACGGAGCTAGTTTCTTAGACAATTTTGCAGCATGTACTTTATCTTCTGAATATTTTGTTTTTCTTTTTTAGTTCTGATTTTGTGTATTTGTGAGTGGATGGAATGAATACCTTTTTATTTGTGTGATTCTCTTGTAGATATCATGCTTTTTTTCTTTGCTCTTTTCTTTTGATTTTGCAATTCATGTATGATGAAAGAGAACAAGCTTTACAATACGACATTTAAAACATCAACCACACATTTATTAAGATTTACCGATAACATTTATATCATTGACTAGTTTGAATTTTATCACAAACATCGAGTTTTTTTTTTTTTTTATCCTTTTCGAATTTTGAAATTTTTTTTGTGTGATTCTCTCAATTTTCGAAATATGGCTGTTTTAATTTTCAATTTTAATTCATCCACCATTCAACATTTATAAATGAAGACTCTATCTACTATTCATAATCTTTATATTGGTTGTGTATAATGGTCTTTTAATTTTACATTTATCCTAAAGTTTAACTGTTCACAAAAAACCCGTTTACATACACATTGGTAATGTTGCACTCTTTTTTTTTTTTGTTATAATAAAATAATCTGAAAAAAAAACCTAAATTTAAAGTCGCAATGCATATTGCCCCTCTATAGGAAGTAAAAAGGTTATTCTCCCCCATGGTGCGTACTATATATGATGCGTGAAACTTTAAAGTGAATGTAAACCGAATTCTAGCGATAGTTACAATTGCATGCAGGGATTTTCAGTATGTTACTGTATAACGGATATATGTGCAATGTCATAGAAGACCTAAAATCCTAAAACCCAAACAAACCTTATTAATAAATATAGGTTATTAAAAAAACCTATAAATAAACCTAGAAATGATAATATTCTTCTTAAGGGTAGGTGAACGTAGATCAATTTTCATATGATCTACGTAGTACTAAAAAATTTTATATAGTAAACAAAAATATGTCTTTGATATAAATTTTTAAAAACGTGACTATTCTTTATCAAATTTTGGTGGAACATAGACTAAATCTAATATTTATAGTAACAAAGTTCTAGAACCACTTTATTTAAAGAAAAAAATTACTTTCGTATATCATCAAATTTTTTTTGATAGATCCAAATTTTTTTAGATCACACAAAAAAAAAAAGAGGTTTTATCCACTTCTAGTACTTCTAGGAATAAACAATTATCCAATCAAATTCAATAAGATTCTTTTACAATCTTAGAGTATGAAAATTACAATAGTTGAGACAAAGGGAAAAGGGAGGGTTTATATAGCTTTTTACAATTAAGAATAAGAATAGTAGAAACAGTAAGAATAGTAAGAA